ACAACGAAAGTAGCCAAGCCCAAAGGTCTGCAGAAAAGGGACAAGATACTAATAGATGGTAACAATCCTCACCGTGAGCTCTACAGAGGATACACCAATTAGGAGAAATACAGAGAAAAGGTCTTCTCTTTTGTAGGTTGTCTAAAGTGTTTACTTTCCCATGGAAGTTTGTTCCCCCATGAGTTCTTTCCTTGCTTCTGCATCTGCATCACCACATTGTGACATTTGTAACTTCTAGGTTACAAAATATCCTAAGAAAACACCTCTAATAGCTTTGGGGTCTAACTTGGATCAATAAGAACCTAGAACATGTATAAAACAAGTAAACCAAACACATAAAAAATGGCAAGGATAATGGAGACTTGAAGTCACCTGGAGGATAAGAATGAGAGGAGGGATGGTAAGTGGTTTTGGCTGTTATTGCTTGCATTGGGGGTTGTTAGTGTGGTTGAATGTTGTTCATTTGTCATGTTCAGCTTAGAGAATGTTGATATAGTGTTTTTTGATGTGGAGAGGTGAATATAAATTTTGTATATCTTGGAGTGGTTTGCATTGTTTTTGCTTGGGCTGCAAAGCCTTATACATTCTTGCCTTTTCTTTTTAATAACTTTTTCCTTTTCTTTGATCAATATTTAATAATTTTTTCCTTTACTATCAAAAAATAATATTATTTCCTCTTCTGTCTTCATATACCCTTCTCTTTGTTCTCTCCTTCCAACCATGTTGATAGCTCTACATGTCATCTCCTTTTAATTCATATGCCCTCACCCCCCCTCAACTATTATTCTACCTCTACATGAATCTAACATTACTAAACAAAATGCTGATACAACTTGACCAGATGTGCACTACCTCATAGACATAATAAAAATCTTGTATTTCAGGAATGGTTAAAAAATAAAGAAAAAGAAAGGACACTTCCTTAGAAAACAATAGCCTAAGATACCTGCTTGCGAGTTCTTCCATCAGAAAATTTGATTGAAATGTTGCATGGCTGCTTGAAAGCACCAATAAGATAGTTCTGAAAAACAAATGCTAAATCATTATCCCATGTTTCCAATTCCAGAATCTCGCCAAAATGCTGGTCTGAACACTGAAAGGTATTGTAATGAAGTTCTTATGAGATCTTACCATGGTTTACAATCAAATCCTAACCTGAGGCTTTATCTTGCATAAAACACCTACAGAAAATAAGCATGATTAAATGCAAGGTCCACATTAGATTCTAAAAGAATAAGTATAATTAAACAGAGCATTTATCAAAAAAAAAGGAATAATTAAATGGACTTCTCAACCAGGAATAAGTGATTCACCATGCAATTCAAAATGAACTTTTCTGTCATTCCAATCTCAATAACTTTACAGAAAAAAGAGATGATATTGAATCATAACCAAAGAGATGATATTGAATCATAACCAAAGAGATTATGTCTTAACATCCCATTGTCAGTCTGTTAGGAACCTGCCCAACACAGCTCTCTTTAAGGGGAGCTCAGCCTCCTTACTGCTATGTTTGGTTTGAGGGAAAAGGTAGGGAAAGGAAGGGAAAAATAGGGAAACCTACAACCTACAAACCAAACACAACCTACAAGAAAAGAGAAGGGAAAAACTGGGGATTAATCTTTGCCCTTTATTCCTTGGACAACCTAGCTTCTTACATATCAGGTAGTTACGATAGGGTATCAGGTATTCTGTGCCACTGGCTGGCATGGCCTTCTAGAGTAAATGAATTGGTATCCCTAATGCCAGTGTCCACACTGGGCTGGGGTCTTCGTGGACTCGATACCTGGCAGCAGAGGCCCATCCTTACTTGGGAATTGAGCCTTGAGGAGATTATATGGTTCCCATGTGGCATTGGTCTCCTTAAAACGTGTCCAGACAACAAAAGCCTCCTGCACTTTTTCATGGCCTCATTGGACCCACCTGAAGTCAGTCAGTTTGAGGGGCTCAAGCCACTCAACTTGGGCTCTCCCTAGTCATCAAAGCTGGGTAGGGAGGGGCCGATCACCATATTTTTTCCAAGGCTCCTCTTCAAGAGGAAAACATGAAAATTGGAGTGAATCCAGGAAGTGGCAGGCAGGTTGAGTTTGTAGGCAACTGGTCCAATACACTCAACTACACGATAAGTCCCATAATACCTTGGGGCCAGCTTCTAACAGGCCTGTTTAGCTAATGTGGACTTTAATCAATAGGGGTGGCAATTTCCCCATCCCCGACAGGTACCCGGGCTCCCCGACCCGATGGGGTCATGTATGGAGGGGTACTTTGGCAGGGTTGGGGTCGGGGATGGGGCTATCCCTGAATCCCCGATCGGGTTTGGGGACAGGGATGGGGAATGCAATCCCTGCCCCGCCCTGGCCCCGATTAATATATATATATACATATATATATAATATTTATATTATATATTATTCATTTTTTAAAAGATTAAAACTTAAAAAAAAACACTTGATAGTCAACACTTCGACAGACAGAGAACTCTGAAGTCTGAACCGATGAACCCTAGTTCTTCACTTCTTCTTCTTCCTTCGTCTTCGTCGCCGACTCGCTGACCGTTGTCGCCCATCGGACTCTCTCTCATCGCCAACCTCAACTCACAATGGTCCTCTCTCACAGTCTTAGTCTCTCAGACTTTCAGTCTCTCTTTCTCTCTCAGTCTAGATTTGTAGTGACCCTCAGGGATTCAGGTCCCCGACGGGGATCAGGGACGGGGATGGAGGGTGATTTAGGGGTCGGGGATGGGGAATGTAATCCCCGCCCTGTTGCCATTCCTAGTAATCACTGTATACAGGGCTGGAGATGGACAAACCGAATCTCCCACCTCAAAGTGGACTCCCTATGTTTTCTGGAGATGGACCTTAGTTCTTGGAGGACCTGATCACCTGTCTCCGACTCCGACTCCGATTGTTCTTCCACTGATGCCACTGTAATAGAGCCCTTTTCATATGGCAAGATGGCAGGGGGTTCACGCCAGGGCTCGAAAAGGGGTCACCCCGATTGCAACCTGATAAGGTAGTGTTATACCAAGTTCGGCTCAAGAAGCCATTTGGACCATTGTTTGGGCATGTCCCCCACAAAGCATCTGTGATAAGTCTCAAGAGTCAAGACACCTGTTAAGCACCTCCATCTGACCATCAGATGTGGGTGATAACTAGTTTAGTGATGGAGTTTCAATTCAGGAGACAGAGTACTGTTTCCAGAAGGAACTCATAAAGACTGGGTCCCAGTCTGACACAAGTGACATGGGAGTTCAATGCAGCTTGGCCACATCTCTTACAAAGACTTCAGCAATTGTGGAGGCTAAGCATGGATGGGAAAAAGCAGAGAAATGCTTGTATTCAGTGAGTCTATCCACGACCACCATAATGATTAATTTACCATATGAACAGGGGAGGCCCGAGATGAAATCCATTGTGATATTATCCCACACTCTTTCAAGTATTGGGAAAGGTTGTAACAATTAATAAACCAACTGGTATCTAAAATTGGTATTTTTACAGCTCAGAATGGGAATGCAACTTCCTAGCATTTGTTGCCCTTTCTGCAATGAGGTCCCTGAATCCTCTAATCACATTTTCATCTACTACAGTTTTTCTCATCAGCTTTGGAAATGGCTTTATCCTGCTTTGGTGTTTGTTCTTGCCTGCCTGTATCAGTCCTTCAGCTTCTTCAGGGGTGATCTCTCAAGGGTCTGGATGTAAAGAGGCAAGCTGCTTTGGAGGATTTTTCCAGCTGCTATCCTATGGGCTCTATGGAAGGAAAGGAACAGCTGGATTTTTGACAATCATTATAATAATATAGCTTCAGTCAAGAACAAAGTTTTAGGTTCTCTGTGTGCTTGGTTAAGTGTACAAAGAGCTTTTAATGGTGTCCAGCTTTTATCTTTTTTGCAAGTTGGACCTTTTTTTAACTGATCTCTGAGATCTTTTGTAAATTCCCAATGTGCAGGCTCTCATTGAACATGGACTGATGTATTTGGCTTTCCTTTTGCAATACAATACTTTATCTTCTTCAAAAAAAATGGTATTTTTGCTGTTGACAAATTGAGCACTCAACCACATACTACTAAATGGAGTACTTCATTCCCTTCCAATGATAATGAGAAGATAGCCATTTATAAGTCCAAAGCACACCTGAATGCCTAGCCAAAGGAGTGTCATGAAATAATTGCAGTAACTTGGGTATGAACTGAGATGTGGGAAGTACCATAGTACCAATATGACCCCTAAAGAACAATACCCCATCAATGACAGAACAACAAGGAACCATGGTTTGGTTATGAGACCATTGGGCCCGAATAGTATTCAGATCTGGGTCTGATTGGGTTTCTTGCCTGATTTCTTGTGTCAAAAAAAATGTGGGCATGGACAGGCCCAATTGGGCCAGCTCTTCATTTCTCGGTAGTGCATCAACTACCACATTATGTGGGTATGGGCTTGTACTCAATAATGTAGTTGTAGCCCAGATCTGGCTTGCACCTTCCTTGCCTGTTCAGAAGTTCGTTTCTGCCTCAAATGACGTTACCACAGAAACTGCACATTGCTTTTCATTTTCTGAAATTGAAGATGCCACCAGGCAGTTTGAGAAGAGAATTGGTTCAGGAGGCTTTGGAGTGGTATACTATGGAAAGATGAAAGATGGAAAGGAAATTGCAGTCAAAGTTCTAACTAGTAATTCATACCAGGGGAAGTGAGGATTTTCAAATGAGTAGCATATACAGTGGAACTGCAATGACGATGACGATGTTCTGAACTGAAACTCCAGCGTCGGCGACAAGGAGTTTTCTGCCATGTCCAGACCACAGCAAGATGGGTTTTTGGGCAGTGCTGTGGTTGGAGGCAGGCCTGCTTCCAGTTGGTTTTCAGAGAACTGGTATCGAAGGAAGGACCCTGGAGGTAAGGTCAGGAGTAACATACCTTCCAGTAAGGTTTTGACAGCAGGGGCTTGGCTGGAGTTAAGGCAAGCAGATTTGAAGTGGGTGGATGGTAGGAAGGTGATTTTTACTGAAATGGAGGGGGTGGAGGCCAGAAGACAATTCCTTTACAACTGCTTGGTGGGTCGCTTTCCTGAGGAAGCAGATGCGAAGCAGGTGGACGCCTGGGCTAATAGAGTTTGGAGAGAAGTAGGGGGTGTGAGTGAAAAATCTCACAGATCGCTTGTTCCTCTTCATTTTCTTGTCCAGATCTGAGGCTGAATGGGTGATCCAGAATGCTTCCTGATGGTGGAGAGCTAATGTGTTGCTCGATTGGTGGGGTGCAAGTGTGGGTTGTTTCAAACTGGAGGTGGAGGACCAGCAAGATCCATCGGTGGAGCAAAACTGGATCAGGATTTATGGCCTCCCTCTACTGCTCTGGTGTCCAAATGTGATCAGAGTCGTGGGGGATGCTTGTGGAGGATTCATCCAAACGAACAATTCTCCCAGTGAACTGGCAACCTGCGAATGGGTTTGGGTGAAGATTAGAGATGGTAGCAACATCCTTGAAAAAGTGGACATTGTGGCTGGCAAGGTGATCTTCACTGTCCGTGTTTGGCCAGAGATCATCCTAGTTGTATGAAGGTGGAAGTCAGGTTCGAAGGGCAAGGAGATCGTCCATCATAGACCAAAACAGCTGCCGGAAATTTCTAAAACAGTCGTTCTTGGTGAGGAGGGGGATGATAGTTTCTCTTGTAGAGGTGGTCAAGAGAAGGGGTCAACGAACTCCTCACCTTCCCGATCTCAGCAGGGGGCGGAGCAAAGTTGGGAGGTGAGGGAGGAAGGTTAGATAGGATCTGCACAATCGCTGCTTCGTTGGACGGCCAGGATGAGCGGATAGGGGGAAGAGTGACGGGAGGGAGGTTCAATTTTTAAATTCTAAAAGCGAGGGGAATGTTTTAAACGTCGCTTCCCTAAAAAAAATTGATTAAGGAGTGCCTAATTGAACTTCGAGTGGCGTTTGAAGGGGAGGGTTGTAGCCAAGAGGGGGTTAACTTGAATGGGGAAGTTTCTCTGGGGAGTGAGGAAGAAACGGGTTTGTTGGAGCAAAGCCAGAACCCGTGTACTCCACCACATCTGATTCCTAAAGCGGGACCGGGTGGGGGCCAGACCTCTAAAGTCGCCAGCGAACCAAGCCACCACAATAGACCTTCGGTCTTAGTTGGTCCAAACTGGCTCACCCAACCGACCAATGGTCTCGAGGGAGCT